CGAAAACACATTGGTTGAAATCCGACGGGAGGGCGGAAGTACCTCCCGCTCGTAATCTTCTTGCGGACGATCGTGACTCTGGTGTAGCGCGGGGGTCTGCAGACTTGTGCATTTTTGGAGCCAACGTCAACAGCTGGTCTACGGCAGACACTGTAGTGAACTGGGTCCGAGATCAAGCTGACGTCGGAGGATCTGGGGCGGCGTCTTGGGGTCTAGTCCAAAGCAAGTTCCAGGTGGTCACGCTCCAGGAGACAAGGTTGAAGTCCCCCGACAAGATCATCTCGGCCCAGAGTTGGGCCTGCAGGAATGGGTACCATGTGTCTCTCGGGAAGGCCCTCAGCACTGGCGACGGGCCCTTGCAAAGCTCTGGAGGAGTCGGTATCTTGGTCGCTGGGGAGATCGCTTCGAGGCCCTTGGATCTTCCAGGTTTGGGCAGGTTCGACGGGAGGATCGTAGGTCGGGTCCTCAATGCGGGGTTCGACCAGGGCCTTGAGATCTACAGTGTCTATCTCGTCAACGACATAGGCGTGACGGGCGAGAATTTAGAGATTTTGGAAGTTCTGGGAGCGCTTCTTTTGTGCAGTAAGCGTCCGTGGGTTGTGCAAGGTGATTGGAATTTCACGCCCGCGGCTCTCCAGCTATCAGTCTGGATACAGCATGTGCACGGTGTGCTAGCCGCTACTGGCCAGGCAACCTGCTCGGCCTGCGCTCCTAGGACTGCCAGGGGAGAAGATATGGAGGAGGAGGAGCTGACGGAGCATGACGGGGGAGGAAGGGAGCTTGACTACTTCGTCGTGTCATCGGCTATCAGTTCGTGCATCAAAGATGTCCAGGCTATCCGAGGAGCGCCGCTTTTTCCCCATTGCCCTGTGCTGCTTCGGTTGGGGAACCTCTGCCAGACGGCGGTGGTCCAGCAGCAGACGCGTTTCAAGCCGTTCAGCACCGCGCTCATGGGGCCGCTGCCGCAGGAAAGGGACATCCAATGGAGCGACCCTCTAAACTCAGATTTGGACACGCTAGCTCGGGAGTGGTTCGGGGAAGCCGAAGCTCGCCTGGTTGAAATTCATGGAATAAGTGATCTGAAAGGGTACGTTGGTCGCTCCGCTGGGCCCCAGTCTCGGAAAGTTCCCTTAGTTGCGCTGCTAGAGCGAGATCACCGTCGGCGGTTTTCGAAGCAGACTGTCTGCTGGATCTCGTTCGAGGCCCTGCTCAAGAAGGCAAAGGCAATCAGTGCTGGGAACCCAGGTGCCAAGGGGAGAGCTCTTTTGGGATCCTGGAAGCTTAAGCTGTTCGACATTTTGGAGGACCTCCAGCTGACGGAAGATGGGCCCACAAAGGCCCAGCTGCACACCATTGTTAGGGCGGCATCGGGAGAAGGTTCCTGGAACGACGACGTCAATGGGGCCATCTGCAAAGAGTGCACTCGTCGCCAGAGGCTGGACGCGGCTTCGCAGCTTGCTAAGTGGAAGGAATGGGCCAAGAGTGCCGTCTCTGGAGGTGGTAAAGCGGCTCATGCCTTCTCCAAGCAACAGGTCTCGAGTGGTTTTTCGCGAGGTATGTCGGATGATCCTCGGCTTCCAGTGGCTGGTCAGGCCGCAGTGCAAGAGCTTGTCGATGCGTGGCATCCGATGTGGTTTCGAGCTGGCCGCGGGCCCGCACCGAGCTCCTGGGAAGTTCCTGCCGACGAGCCTGCCCTTTCCCCGCTCAGACAGGAGGATTTACATCGAGTATGCAAGATGTACGGGCCCGCGGCGGGCCTAGGCTGGGATGGATTTAACCCGGGGTGGGTATTGCAGCTGCCCGAAAGTTACCAGTTTCGGCTTCTGGAGATTTTGACGCTCTTCGAGGTCGACCCTGGGGCCGTCGTGATGTTCCTGACCAATGTGGTTTTCTTGGACAAACCAACGGGAGGGGTCAGGCCGATCGGATTGCTCTGCCTTTTCACGAAGCTCTGGAGCCGTTTGAGGCAGCCGTATTGCCGCTCATGGGAAAAGTCCCACGTGTACGAGTTTTTCTGGGGCTCAGGGCCCGACACAACGTGCGAGAGGGCCGGATGGGTCCACAACTTACTCGGGGCGCATTGTCGTAAAGCAGGTTTCGAATCAGCGTCGGCTCTCTTGGACTTGGCTAAGTTCTATGAGAATGTCAACCACGGGGACCTTCTGGTTGCAGCTAAACGGTTTGGTTTCCCAGTTAGGCTGGTCAAAGCGTACTGTACCATCTATGCAGGCTACCGTGTGCTTCTTTACGGGGGAGCTTCGTCGGCCGTCGTCGAATCGAACGGGGCAATCGTGGCTGGGTGCTCGGGGGCTACGACTTTCGCCAAGATGTTGCTACTAGGACCGCTATTGGAGGCCCGTGAGAGCAGGAACTTGTTGTATGTGCGTAATGTGGTGGACGACATCACTGTTCAGTGTTGCGGGCCCAAGCATCAGGTGGCGGCCCAACTGGCTGGTGGAGTAGAGTCTCTGATCAAGAGTTTCAAGCAGCTGCAGCTCCCTGTGGCGTTTAAGAAGTGTGCCTACCTTTGCTCGAAGGAGGTTGAGGCGCACCTGTCCAAGGCCTGGTCCCTCCCCACCTCTTGCCGCACCGACACGGCGAGGAATCTTGGGACCAACGCTACCTTGGGAGGCCTCCGCAGGATCGGATTCAGAACTCAAGGTTTGCAGGTGCTTCGCGCAGGGCCAGGAGGCTCAAGATACTACAAGGAGCTGGAGCCGACATCGGGATGGTTCACAGGATGGGGCCAGTGGCATCGGCCCTCTGGGGATCCTCGGTCTCTGGGGTGGCCCCCACAAAAATGGCTGGGCTCCGTATCGGTGCTGCTAGTTCCCTAGGCAGGCTCCCTAAAGGTGCTTCGGTTGGGCTCAGGATGTACACGTACGGGCTTGGGGCCAAGGTAGACCCTCTGGTGGTTTACGTGGGGCACGTGCTTTTCATGTGGGCGACTGCTGTTTGGGAAGCTGTCCCTCACGTTCAGGTGTTGGCCAATACCATGAGGGTCTCGATCGCCAAGTTTCAGAATTCAGCTCAGCCCTGGAGGTCAGCGTCTTCCCCCAGCGACGTCGCGCTTTTAACGTTGCGGGGCATAGGCTGGGACTTTGTAGACCAGCACACCATCAAAGATGACTTGAACGTTGTGCATGACTTGTTCAGGCTCTCCCCGATGCAGGTCAGGACTATGATCAGGCAAGGTGCCGTGCGAGCGTCAGATAGACATGCCCTTCTCTTGCAGAATGGCCTTGATGGGCCACCTGTTTACCCTATCTTCTGGGATGGTATTTCCAGGATGTTCAAGGAGAAGTCCGAAACCTGGGGGAAGCACCATCAGAGATGTTTAAGAGGTTTGGTCTCGGGAGTTCACTGGCCCCAAGCCCGACTTCATGCTCACAACCTCCACGATGATGATCTTTGTCAAGTGTGCAAGGGGGCCCCAGGTACTTTGTGGCACCGTCAGTACGAGTGCCCTGCGCATGAAGTCCTGCGGCGAGACCATGCGAGTGCTCACTTGTGTAGGTGTGCGCAGAGAGTGAAGCAGTTCGGGCCGCTCATGGCGGAGAGGTTCGCGAGGTGCATCTTTCCTCACCCTCGCTCGCTCTTCGACGTCGAGGAGCCCACGCAAACGTTCACTGGCACGAGAGGCCCGAGACGGGGCTATTGACGGGGTTGTTATTCCTGGACGGGTCGGCCAAATACATGGGCCTCGATGGGCTCACTCGGGCTGGTTGGAGTATCGTATCGGTCGACAGGTTTGGGGAGTTGCTCTCGGCGGCCTACGGTCCAGTTCCTCTGAGTGCGGCCCCGCAGCAAACTAGTAAAGATGGAGAAGACTATGCTGTATATATGCTTACGCAAGTTGGTCTTCCCCCGTTTCAATGCTATATAGATTGCCAGAGCACTCTGGATTCGCTGTCTCGGGGCCCTGGGTTCGCGGAGGGCCCTGGAGCCCCCCGCGGTCATCTTTGGGGCCCCGTGTGGAGCTCGTTCACTCTCAGCGATTTCGAGTGTTTCAAGACGCTCGGCCACGCCACGGCGGCCGATGTCGAGGCTGGCAGGAGCAGTGTTTGGGAAAGACGGGCCAATGGGCTCGCAGATAAGTTCGCCAAACTAGGAGCCGAGTGTCACGGGGTCAGCGACGAAGAGGCCAGCCTGTACAGAGGCCTCAGGTGCCTCGCCCGCGAGGCCTGCAGGTGGGCTGGATCGGTGGAGGTGCTGATGTCCAACGGGCCCCGTGACTCAACGGGCCTAGTGCCCAGGTCGACAGGCAGCGATGGCCAGTGGCAGCACTCACAAGAGGCTGATGCCCTCGGCCAGGCCCTGGGCGACGATCAAAGGGAGGTGGGAGGTTCTTCGGACTTGGGGGAGGAGTGGCGTTCATTCTCTCGGCAAGTGTTTCGGGCCAACGGCCATGCTTTTTTGGCCAGCCCTGTCTTAGAACCTCCTGGAAACCCCAGGGGTAGGATCCAATTTTGTTGTCGGTGCGGATCGTTTTTCTCTGGGGCTCCCAATGCTGGAGCTAAAGGCCTGTGCAGGCCCAAATTCACGACGGGTGGAATTAATGACCAGCTGAGAAGGATTCGGCAGGGCAAGTTTCCCTCGTACAAGAAGGACCTGAAGAATTTGACTCTGGGGGCTCACGTGAGCCTGAGCCTCGCCGAGCGGAGGGTCTTGGCTCAGTCGCTGGAAGAGGATGGCCAGGCCCCCCAGGGAGTTTCAGGTCCTGCTACTGTTGGCTCCGCGGAGGGCTTCGCCCCGCGAGAGCAGGTTTTGGATTCGTTCGGCCTGCAGAGTCGGATTTACCCTGGGTCAAGGACCTAGGGGCCGCCTCCCTCCGAGCCTCGGACTGCGGTTTCGAGTCAGACTCGGAGGCCTCCGATTTTGGCTGAACGAGGAGGTGATCTGGCTTTAGGCCCGTCCCCAACAACCTCCTCCCCCTCCTCCTCCTCCTCCTCCTCCTCCTCCTCCTCCTCCTCCTCCTCCTCCTCCTCCTCCTCCTCCTCCAGGCTCGTGGAGCTGCAGTCCGAGGTGGAGCTGATGAAGGCCTCGGCCAGCCAGCAGCAGGGGCTCGTCGTCCAGCAGGCGGGGCGCGTTCAGTTTCGATCCGACTGGGGGCATCGATTCCGGCCAGCCCGATCCGATTCGATTCCGATTTTCCAGCGATCCGAATCTAGAGAAACGAACAATGACGTAAATATAGAAATTCGGAGGTCCGCGCGGATTTCTCAGATCGGCGCTGGTGCCCCCTGGCGGCGCCTCCGGCGCCGCCCTTGGCGCGCTCCGCGCGCCAGGGAGCGGGGTCCAGCGCCGATCCGAGAGATCCGCGCGGACCGCCGAGTTTTTTATGTCTATGTGATTGTCCGTTTCCCTAGTAGCGTCCCGATGAGTGCGTGGCGTTGTTGTGCATCCAGGCGCGACCGATCATGCTCGATTCTGGCTCCGTGCCGATGCGGTCCGATCTTCGGGGGCCCCAGAACAGCGGGGTGACGGACTGGTGACCTCGGAGTCCCCAACGTCTTCCCCGCGCTGTCCGTCACCGCCTCGGGACCTCGGGAGCCCAGTCGCCCGCGACGTCCTCGGAGCACGGCCCGAGTCCTGAAGCCGAGCGGTGCCCCCGAGGCCCCCCTGACTCACCACGTGGCGTGGTCACCACACCTTGGCATCGCTCGGACGTGCGCGCGCTGTCTCGGCGGGGGCCCTCGAGGAGCACCCTGTGGACCACCTCGCGCAGCAGACGCGCACCAAGCCGGAGCGTGCACGGGGAACGGACGTCCGAGCGATGGCAAGGCACAGCTTGGGGGCCCCCGAGATCCGCCGCACGACCCGACTGGGCCCGGCTTCCCGGGCCCATGCTGCCGGCCGCTCCTGCCCCCCGACCGCGAGGGTCGGGGGGGGCAAAGATCAGGAGGGGAAGAAACACACAGACACAATTAATCCTCGATTCCACAGAAAATATGGGAAAATATGGGAAGTGGGGGGGAAGACAAAAAACCCCAAAAATATAGGAAAATATGGGGAATATGTTTATTTGTGTCTATTTATTTGTGTGTCCCAGTTCCCCTTCAAAAGAGGGGGGTGAGGACTTGGGGGTGGTGGACATCATGGAGGGGGCCATGATGTTTCCTCAGATTTCATGGCGCCTCTTCTGGTTTCATTACGTCCCTGGCCCCCCCGCTGGGCCGCGCACATGCCGCCGGTCATGATTTGCACCCCCTCCCTCTTGGACACCCCCCTCTTGCCCGCTCCCGAGAGGGCCTCCGGAGCCCCTGACCTCCGTGGGGTGCCGCTCTCTGGGCCTCGTGGGGCCACCACGAGCGAGCCCTGGAAGCGAAGGTCCGCCGGCGTGCCGGTGCGCCCCGATGCAACGCACGACCCCGAGTCCCCACCCCACACACGACCGCGTCGTCGAGAAGTTCGGGGCGGAGGTTTTCCTCCGTTCTCGGCCTCCGGAGGCCCTCGCAGGGCCCCAGGGCCCTCAGGAAACAGCTCGGGATGAGAAGCCGGCCCCGGGGAAAGGGTCGGGATTTCGGGGACGCCGCACGGAAAAATTCAGAACGGTGCGTGTCTGGGACTGACTCACCACACTGGCCCCCCTCCGAATGTGTGGCTTCCGGGCAAAACCCGAGTATGTTCTTTGGGTGGAGGGCAAAAGGTGATATTTGAAGTGTCGTTTCAACTGATCTTCGAGTTTTGAATCTGCTCAAGGTGAATCACGAGACGGATTGGTTTTCGAAGTGCAAAAGCCCATATGGATTTCACCCTGAGCCCTCCACCCTAAGAAAGTGCTCAGGCCTTCTGGAGGGCCTTCTCCTTCTCACTTCCCCACCGGGCGCGCCGCCGAATTTGGTTTTGGGGTCAGAACTCGGGTCTCTGGCGGCCGTTCGGGACGATCTGGGCACCCTGGGAACGCCCTCGGAGAAGCGCAGCTGCTGGCAATCACCCCGAGCAGCGGGTCTCCAGCGGCCTGGGTCTCCAGCGGCCGCTCGGGAGGATGCAGGCACCCCCACCCCCGGAGCGCTCTCGGCGGGGCGCAGCTGCGGGAGCACGTCCCGAGGCAGGGAGAGCCCCAGGGACCCGATGGGCCCGTCTTCCACCACCACAACCACCACCACAAAGTTGGAGGGGCAGGGGGTCCTCCTCCTCCTCCTCCTCCTCCTCCTCCTCCTCCTCCTCCTCCTCCTCCTCCTCCTCCTCCCCCTCCTCCTCCTCCTGCTCCCGCTCCTCCTCCTCCTGCTCCTGCTCCTGCTCCTGCTCCTGCTCCTCCTCCTCCTCCTGCTCCTGCTCCTCCTCCTCCTCTCCTCCTCCTCCTCCTCCTCCTCCTCCTCCACCTCCTCCTCCTCCTCCTCCTCCTCCTCCTCCTCCTGCTCCTGCCCCCCTCCTCCTCCTCTCCTCCTCCTCCTCCTCCTCCTCCTCCTCCTCCCTCCTCCTCCTCCTGCCCCTTCTCCTTCTCCTTCTCCTCCTCCTCCTCCTCCTCCTCCTCCTCCTCCTCCTTTCCCCCATCCA